TTAATATTTTAAATATTAAATGTCTTAATTTTTATTTTTTTTCTTTAAAATTTATACATTAAAAAAAATTAAGTACAGCCTGCTTTGTTTACGACATAGTATGGCACGCTTTCCCAAAAAAAGGGTACTATGGCACTCTCTAAAACTTAAATAACAAAAATGTGTTTCATTCTGAACAATAAATTTATCAAAATACACTATTTTTCATATTGACCTAATTAAGGGTAATTTTATAATTTTGATATTCAGAGTGCATAATGCAGTATGAACTGGAATCAGGATTCTCAATAAATAAAAGAAATTCAATTTTTATAAGACAAATTATACATCTAAAATACAATTTATTTTATAAATTTATTTAAATATTTTGAAATAAAATAATATAAAATAAAATAATTAAAAATTGTTAAATAAATTCCAAAAACATATCACATTTTTAATATACGAAAAAAAACACTTTTTTTTTTTTTTTTTATAAATAAACACTAAAATGGAGATGGAGTACAGAAGAGGTATAAATAAAATAAGAAATTGCGGAATTAACTGGTTCATCAAGTTCGGCGGAATCGAATCGAGATTGTTCCTGATATTCCTTCCTACTCAATCGCCGATGTGCAGAAACTGTAAGCAATTAGGGTTTTCGGAGGAGTGACAGTCCATATTAATCTCCACTTCCTGCAGGAGCAAACCTGGGTAGTGAAAGGTCTCGATTATATTTACGGCCCTGTCTGTGTTGCGCAGATTGGCTGCAGCGGTTGTGGAACTTCGTCTTCCGTAGAATGGATTCGCCTTCTGGATCACTGCCGCTCGATGCCAACGATGGAATCATCAGGGTATGCTCATGGCTTAAAATACTCTGCTTCCCTTTTAGTTTCTGTTGCTTTTCTGTTTTGTGCTGCTTTTGCTTTGTTGCTCATTTTCGTTTCGATTGAGTATTCTTTGGGTTAATCATGGAGGAAAAACAGAATTTGTTCTGCCTGTAAATGGTATATTAGAATAAAAAGCTGAATTTGTTCAGAATTTGCTTCTAGTGATGAAGTTGAATCCTCTTCTTTCTGATTTGTATAATGGAGCCATGATGCTCGTTGCATTTCATTTTTTGGGAGTATCCATGTGCGGTTTATCTTATTTTGTTGTAAATATAATTAAAGATGAATGTTGATTGGTGTCTAATGGCAATACTGTTTGTTTATTTTTTTTTTTTTAATCAGAGGCTAGTTGATAAAGGAGTTCCTGAAGAGAATCTTGATACTCGTTATGAGGGTTTAGTTAATTTTGTTATGGATAATTGGTCTTGGATACCAGAGGTAGTCTCTGCTATCTTGCCTGCTGAGGAGGAGGTTGCAGAGCATATTAAACATGAGAAGTCACAGTCTCAAGAAAGAACAACTGACTCAAGCATTACCATGAAGAATCAATTTCGTGTTAGTATGCTTTGGTTACAATGGCTGATGTTTGAGGGTGACCCATCTCATGCTTTGGAGAACCTAGATAAAATTAGTGTTGGTCAACGAGGTGTTTGTGGAGCTGTTTGGGGACATAATGATATTGCATACAGGTGCCGGTCATGTGAGCATGATCCTACTTGTGCAATTTGTGTTCCATGTTTTCAGAATGGGAACCACAACGGCCATGATTATTCTATTATTTACACGGGTGGTGGTTGCTGTGATTGTGGAGATGAGACAGCATGGAAATGTGAGGGCTTCTGCTCAAAACACAAAGGTGCTGAACAGATTCGGCCCCTTCCAGAGAATTTAGCAAATTCTGTGGGGCCTGTTCTCAATTCCCTCTTTGTTTGTTGGAAAAGCAAGCTATTGTCTGCAGAAACTATCTTTAAGGAAAAGAGGAGAGCAAATGACCATGATACTGTGCCTAGGAAAATTGCAAATGAGCTCACGCTTGTGGTGGTTGAGATGCTTTTAGAATTTTTCAAGCACAGTGAGAGTTTGCTCAGTTTTGTTTCTGAGAGGGTGATATCTTTAGTTGGTTTGTTGGAGATTCTTGTCAGGGCAGAGAGGTTCTTGTGCAAAATTGTTGTGAGGAAACTCCATGAACTGCTCTTGAAATTGCTTGGAGAACCTGTCTTCAAATATGAGTTTGCTAAAGTGTTTTTAAGTTATTACCCTGTTGTTATAAAGGATGCCATAAAGGAGGGCGACAGTTGCATTAGAGATAAGTACCCACTTCTATCAACATTCTCTGTTCAAATCTTGACAGTGCCGACTCTAATACTGCGTCTTGTGAAGGAGATGAATTTATTGACCATGTTGTTTGGATGTTTGGGAGAGATTTTCTTTTCTACTGTTGGGGATGATGGTCGTTTAGGGGTGAGCCTTTTCTTTTCCCAACTTTTGTGGTGCTGTATAAGAATATCATTATATTAGTCTGCTCTTTGGCTTAGCTTCATGTTGGGCTGCCTTTCTTGATTGACTGCATATGCACTGACACAGAAGTGCAAAACTTGAATTAATGGCCTTTGTTAGTCCTTAATAGCATAAAAACTTGATTTAATGGCTTTTGTTAGTTCTTAATAACCTGGATGCATGCTGATTATGAACTCATGTTTAAGTAGCTCACTTTTCTTTGTGATGCATTGTTTTCATGCCTTTGATGAGACATTCTAGTGATCTATACAAGTGATAGTGTGAGACTTTGAAACACTTAATTGCTGCAAGGGTGATTAAAAGAACTGCAATAGCTGAATTAGAAATGACTATTGAAACTCTGAACATTATTGCTTGATTCTTAACATTGTCTTTTCATTGACTTGGCATTTCGTTTTTATTTTATTTTAATGAAAATGTTCTGGGGTTTATCTCAGGCAATTCCTTGAGTGAAGATCAGAATTCAGATTGTGGTTTCTATTGTTATATAAATTTAATGGAGGGATGCTGTGTAGTTGGTGTATCACCATGTGGGCTGGTTTTCTTTTCTTTTCATTGCATAGAAATGTACATGTGATCACTAAAATTGGTCTGCCCAGTACAGTCTTGAGAATCTTACCATTCTTGTTTATTTATTCATTCATGTGAGAAGCAACAAAATTTTATGGCTGACATTGAAGAATTAAATTATTTCTACCATAGAATGATTTTCTATAATTAAACAGTTTTATATAAGGTAAAGTAAAAATTATATCTAAAACTGAATTTGCAAAACTTTGCATTTTTTATATTGTTTCAGTATCAAGACAATTATTCTTTGAATTTAATTAAAGCATTTGAGCTTATTATCAACACATGTTGTGATTATTGTCGTGATTTATGATAGCACCTGGAACTTAGAAACATTCATATTTTTCTTTAGTTATGTATATTTTGTACTAGGAAAAAAAAATACAGTGAAATACAAAAAGATAATAATAATAATAAATAAATAAATCAACAAAAGTTGAAGATTTATCATGTTTGACTTTTTTCAGGTCTCAAAGTGGGGAAATGTTTATGAGACTACACATCGTGTTCTTGGAGATATTCGGTTTGTTTTGAGCCATGATGAAGTGTCTAAATATGCTATCCGTGACCAGCAGGATATATGTAGAATTTGGATAAAGTTCTTGGCTTTTTTGCAAGGAATGAGCCCTGTAAAGAGGGAAACTGGAATCCATATAGAAGAAGAAAACGAGTCTATGCATTTGTTACTTGTTTTAAGTCGTGCAGTTTCCGACATTTATTCTCTTCTGGTAGATCGAGCATTTTCTGTAGGTAGTGGTGAGGAGATGAATGCTTTTCCAACTGTGCATAACAAAGATGCTGATGATGGAGACAGCTTAAGACATGCAAAGGTAGGAAGGCTATCCCAAGAGAGCTCTGTGTGTAGTGTAACAGGGAGAAGTAGTGCTTTTGCTTGTTTGTCAAGGTCTTCTGGGTCACATCTTTTAATTCCATCATCTGTTGAATGGTTAGTATATGAGTGTTTGCGGGCTATGGAAAATTGGCTGGGGACTGATGATGGAACATCTACTGCTTTTGACCGTAGACTTCCTCCAAATTGTAGTAGAACCAGTGGGACTAACGTTTTGGTTCTGAAGGAAACATTATCTAAGATACAGGAAGGAAAACTTTTTTTGGGTAAACTTGATGGTGCAAGGGATGATCACCGTGGATGGTCTTCTTCACTTGTATTTGCTGGACTTCTAGAGACTGGTGACTTGGAGAAAGGCCACAAGAGTAGAACAACTGTTACAGTTGAAACTAATTCAGTTGCACATGTCTCTTTAAGTTTGGATGCTGATGCTATGGAAGAGGATAATGGCATGGAATCAAATGTCCTAAGTGTTTTCAGTCTCTCTGAGTGGCCAGATATCAATTATGATGTCAGTTCACAAGAGATATCTGTTCACCTCCCATTACATCGTTTGCTCTCTTTGCTTATACAGATGGCGTTAAAAAGATGTTATGGTGAATGTTCAGTGCCAAATGTAAATAGTTCTAACTCTGCAAATCCTTTGTTAGCAAGTTCTGCTGACTTTTTTGGATATATTCTTGGGAAATTCCACGCTGTTGGGTTTTCTGGCTTTGTTATGGAGCATCCTCTGCGGATTAGGGTATTTTGTTCTCAAGTTAATGCTGGGATGTGGCGTAAGAATGGTGATGCTACCCAATTATTTTGTGATTGGTATCGTTCAGTTCGCTGGTGGGTTACGAATGCTCTGTGTGATGCATATAATCGTGAAACTTATGGCTCTCTCAAGTTTCTATTTTTTATCTTTTGTTTTCAAGTTCATTCTTATGTTTACTTCTTTCAGGTCTGACCAAGGTTTGGAATTTGATCTATTTCTTCTGCAATTGTGTGCTGCTATGGCTCCACCTGATCTTTTTGTTAAAAGAATTTTGGACCGCTTTGGGTTATCAAGCTACCTATCTCTAAGTCTTGAAAGATCAAGCAAGTATGTTTTTTTCCCTCTTAGCTTCTAATTGTCATTGTTGAATTTCTTATGCTTGTAACTGTGACTTGCTTTCTTTCTCAGAATTTTGAAGAAATTGACTATAAATTTATATTCTCGTATATAAGTTAGCTTCTATGTTGGCCTTTATGTTGACTAATAGCAACTTTTACCTGATTTTCTTAAAATCTGAAAGAAGACAAATAGCTTCAACATTGCACAATCATCCGTAATTTGTGTGGTTATGTTAGGTACTGTGCTAGATTTTTCTTTTGATGTTCCCATCTTAAAAAAATTTGGAAAATAATTAATATTTTTATACAAGCTACATTATATAGTTTCTGGGTTTCTGTTTTTAGACCTTTTTTTAAGGTCCTTAAAATAAACTTTTCCTGTATTGTTCTTTTGTTTGAGTTGTCCAGCTTGCATGCTTTATCTGTTTTAATTGATATCTTTAATGAGTAAAGGTGCAAATAAGGATTTCAACTTTGCATTTTTTTTTATTTAAGGATGTTAACTTTGTCAATTTCTAAATAAGGATGTTAACTTTCAATTTTTTTAAAATGAGGATGTCAACTTTCAACATTTTCTATTTAAGGATGTCAACTTTCAATGTTAGTCACGTCAGCGTCACTATTCAAATAATCCTTAAATAGAAAAAGTTGAAAGTTGACATCCTTAAATAGAAAA